CCATTCGGCAGCGTTTTGATTCACTCCGACATTGAGGCATGATCACTGAAGACCGCTCAGAAAACGAAGATGGGGCAAGCGCGGCGGAACGTTGGCCGTCCGCTCTGCTATGCAACCATCCACCTCTCCGGGATGGCCGATGGGCCACGAACCAGTTAAAGGGGAAGGATGTAATTATATTTGGCCGTGCGCTAGTGTGGCACCCAATCTGACCTCTGCCGTTGGCTTCCAGGCCTGACCGGCGAGCGGCAGGCCCTCCCCTCCCCATCGCTGCCAGCCGGTCGCCGGCGGGGGTCACAACCGCTGAGGCTTCGCCGCCGACGCGTGAGCCGGCGCCGAGCTGATCGTCGGGCCCGACGACAGCCGTGCCGTCGACACACCGTCAGGTGAGCGGGTGCCGCCCAGACCTTGACCGATGTGGTCCTGCGGGGCCTGGGCGGGGTGGATTCTGCGGGGTCTGGGCGATGTGATTCTGCGAGGCCTGGGCGGCGCCCGTGAGGTACGGGGGCGCCACCCAGGCCTTCGCAGGTGCGGACCGCATATTTCCCCGTGGAATTGCACAACTGTTTTCGTAAGTGTTTGCCGCAGGATCCTGCAGTGGGCTTACGGTGTCAGTAATCGAATGTTTCTGAGTGGTTCGGGGCGATTTGCAGTTGTTTGTTGTTCGACATCGATGCCATGAATGCAGTAAGAAGTAGGTCCTTTGAGGAAGGTTAGCCCGCCCGCTTCGTCCTGTCACGAATGTCTACGATGGCCCCTCAATATTCGGCCGAGACCACCAAATTGTGACAAAATTAATTAAGAATAGTAGCAAGCTTCATGTTGTGACGGGAGTTCGGCTATCGGTTGGAATGTATCACACTTCGGTTATCCCCCCCCCCCCCCCCCCCCTCGCCCCCTGTCAACACAATGAATTGCATCTGACTACCGTCACGAAACAGCAGTTGGAAGCAAAGGATCCAAACATGCATGCCTTCCGAATGTGCAGTATTTTTCCATCTCTACGTCATAAGACTGTGCAGCTTTACTAGCGTACCATTGGCTTTCATTGTCGTATTGAGTCTGTCTGCCGCGACCCTTGATGTCATCTGCCAAAGGCGCTGGCTGGCGGTCTCGTGCGGTCGGTTATTTTCTGTGGAGGGCGCGCCTCGTTTCCGCTCGTTGCGTCCAGCCGTCACGCTGATCATCCTCACTTTCGAAATGAACAGTCCGCGGGACGCCGCCAGTGTCGGCGAAAACACGACAATCGATGCCACCCCGGGGCGGAGCGGGCTGATTTAGCGGAGGACAAACCCACACAATCAGAGCCAAACTCGACAGCAGGCCCTCAGAATCAAGACCAAACTCGGTGACATCTCGCACAGTCGGTCGCCAGCCTGTTGACACTCGCAGCGTTGTAAAAGCGGTTATGGTTGGGAAAATAGATCGCATTTACAGCGTTCTCAACTGCGCGTATTCAATGCACGTACAAGCTGGATATATAACGATCCAAAGGCATGCATAAGTTTGAGGAGCTTCTGTTTGTTCAGAAACTATCTACGCTGTTCTGAAAACGGATGCTTTTTTCGACTTGTTCGCGGATCCTGATTGTCGTGCGTTTGGTTTGTGTAACGATTTGGCATGTATGCACTGTCCCACTACATTACTATGCACGCTCTACGACGTGACAACAGACTGCAGCAAGTGCAGACTGTTCCGTGGATTCTGCCATTGTTGGGTCGTTGCCATAAGTGACACCAGTGTGACAACGATGGCGGCGCCGCGGACAGATTTGGTGAAGCGGCACGGTTCAAGCACACGTAGCACTCAAGCACCAAGCACTCATTCAAGCACTCGACGCCCGCGTCCGCCCTGGAATGGCTAGGAAATATGACCAAAAGATGGCAGCACCATCCGTTTCTCTTTCCTGCCCACTGTCGTATGCTGCACCGCAGGACAAACTCGGATGACTGCGCCGTGTGCCTGCGTCGTGCCGGTGCAGGTGTAGGTACACCACAAGACAAACTTGAGGCCCAATGTTTGCCCAACGTCCGCGGTTCTAGTCCAGCGCCAGCTGAAGA